GGACCCATAGAAGCGGTCGACTCAATGGTGTAATACATAAAAGAAAGATAGCATATAAGGACATAGTACAGGAAGAAAGAATTAGTCCGTAGAAAGAAAGATGTGACATAATTTTAATCTCATAGTTTAAGGGAAGACAAAGAGTGTATACACCTACGCCATTGTGATCGATTCTGAGCCATGTCACCCAGAGCCTCCAACCATTGGTTACGTTAGTCACGCGGACACCAACCAACTAGACTGCATCTACCAACATGACTCAGTCCAGAAGTTAGTGACTTCAAACACTGATGCCATGTTTTGGTTTGGCCGCCCCTAACGATTTTCATATTAGTATATTAATGAATTATTTTAACATATTATTCGAGTTTATAATAAGATAATGTAAAAGATATATTTCATTCACACTAAACATAATGATTTAAACATTAGTGAGTGAATCACAGTTCACACTTTTGTGAACGAATAATAATATTTTTGGCGAAATAAGCCAGGAATATTTATGTTTAGATGATATTTACAAATGGTAATTCTTAAGACTCTAGAAGTATTATATATACTATTGAACAGCTTGTTAGCAAATTAAATAAATGCTTATTAATAGAATTTTCTGTATACATTATTAAACAACATTGGTCTAAATCTCGTTTAGAAATAGAGTTTCCATCAACGTAATGTTTGAGATATCACATGTGGTAATACATATGTGCGAAAATGCGTTGACATGCATATTGACACATATGTGACCTAGATACAAGAACTGAAAATTTAATTTATAATAAACATTTCTCGCTAAGTGGTTTATTTTGAAAACTCATTGTATGTGCTAAGACATATTTAAAAGGGTTTTAAACAAATTGAATATATTTATTGACAGACAAGTTAATATACATCATAATATTGCCGGTGTATCTTTATTCTGCTCAAAGTTTCAATATTTTCATTCACTAGTACAATGGAAGTTTACAGATTGTCAATGAGATTTAGCCCGTATTGTTTTGTGTTTAGTTAAAAATTTGCTGCGTATATTCTAGTGATTCAGCATTCATTGACTTATTGATAGAAAGAAATAAACAAGTTATTCACCACTTTGGTGTGTCAATATTAATTTACATACCAAATCTGAACACTGATTCTGAAGTTTATGATATCATAGAAAAATTATGGCTTGAATGGTTTATTACAAAGCCTAGCAAAAAGTAAACACACTAACAATATTGAGAAAGTCTAGAATAGTCAAACTAATGAGTCGATTTTTCCATACAAGTCAATGATAACTATCTAGGATTTGAGTACACCATAATGAAAATTGTTATGACAGGTGATGTCCATATGTGATACTGATAGACGGTGTGCTACGCTCTAGCTATTTGAGCGATAACACAAGAGTGAGAGAGGAAGTTTATTGGGCTACTGAATAAAATACACAAATACTCATTCATATATATACTACTCTAATCCTTAGGAAGTTGGTCCATTTTTTAGCCACAGAAATGCACTTGTATGTCAGGTTACTTCTAATTGCCACCCAATGACCTTCTCATTAGGCTACTCCTGACCGGCTCTCCATATTAAAAACCAACATTGGAGTTAAAAATATTACCATCATTGACTAACAGAGAAGGTTGCTTGGTTAGCCTTTTTTAATTTTTTGTAGCTGCTGTAAGTTCATTATGAGAGCCTTACAGTAAATTTTGTGTCTGATAAAGTATGAAAAATCTGATAATTATATTTTAGTGATACCACAACCACGCGAAATCATATGCTCCCATGGTAATAAGTCATCAGTAAATACTAAGAAATTATCTCGAGAAATCATGTTTACATTGTACTATAACAATAAAAAAATATTTTTTAGTTCAGATGCTTGTTCTTAGTGGTATTATAATCTGCGAACTGGATAGATCGATTTTGAAACGATCATTGTCGATTTGAAGCCTAGATAGAGTCCAATATAAATTGAGATCGATGTTGTCTGATAGCAGTCCTTCGAAATGTTTTATTGTTGTTTTCATAAACTGGATTTCAATCTTTTTTATTTCGACAGCTTCAGAAATGCCGAACAATTTTTGTTCCTTTTGTTTATTGACTGTTTTGAAAGATTTCGAAATTCCATCATTCCCGCTGTCGAGCAAATGACAAACAAAACGTTCTGTACAGTTAATGTTACCTTTTGTGAAATATGTTCAGAGATGCAGACACAAATACTTTTTTTATTCCGATGTATCTGCCTTTGGTGCGTACATGTAAACTGGTGAACACAGTTGGATGTAACATAATCCACGTATTTGTCCACATTTGATGTTTGTAGTAGTTTTCAGAGTTTCACCTCCGTACAACAAAACCGTCTTGGCCGATATATTGAGAATTCCGACTTTTAAATGAAGGAAAACCTGGGTCCCAATCAATTTCGAAGTAACTTATCCAGAACGACAGTGAAATGTTTAATCGAACAAACTACAATCACCAGGAAGGAATATTTTAAATACCTTGCTCATTTGTCAACTAGTTGCTTCTAATTGTTGACTGAACTTAACTTGTTTTCGAAATAGACTAATCTACTTCACTTGGTATTGTTTTGCTTGTATCTTCCCATTGAGGTTTAAGACTGCAATTGCTCAGTCTGTTATTGGCATATGTGCATACTGCGTTTAAGCCTAGATATTGGATTAATTCACAAGCTTTTAAAGGCAAAGATGGATAGTGGCTAGCAGTGGAATCCATGATGCGCGTTTCGTCCTAGCTGAGTGGGTAACGCGATCGCATTTGAAGCGAATGATGCTGGGTTCAAGTCCCAGAGTGAACATCAACTCTGAGACGCAGGTGCATCAGGCTGACGAGTCCCAAATAGAACAAAACGCGCATCCTGGATTCCACTGCTAGACACTATCCATCTTTGCTTATAAAAGACTAATCTACGATTTGATCAACCTAAGAAATTACGAATAGTCACCTATTCACCTCACAGCTGATCATAATTTCTGGTGACTGGAACTGAATCGGTATTTGAAAGACAGTCAGGTCTTAAAATCCAGCGAACGAAGCCACAACAGGGGAAATTGTCCACTTTAGTCATATAAATGCTATTAACTAACAATTTTACACTAGGTTTCGAAGAAAGCGCACATACTACATGTACATATCCGATATCTAGTAGTTAGCACGACATTTTGAAACTTGAGAACGCTCAAATTTTGTTGGCCAATACTACCGTCTGTCATCGTTTTGACTGATATTGATTTTAAGGAGAATGATGTGAAGTCGTTTTTGAAAGTCCATCCTAACAATGTACTAAACTTTCATCAAACGGAATCATGTCGTATATAAATAGGTCAACCCATTAACAAAATCAAAACACTTGATTCCCCTGCTTGAAAACCTGAATGTTGTGAACCGTCGTACGACAATTGTAGGGTAGATGACACTCAAATACAAAATTTTCAGTTGGTTTTAACATATTTAAACTGTAACGTGGTGGTGAGATTTTATGTTTGTCATATGCAGTCTATTCAGATATTGTTGTCGGCACACTTGGTACGTAGACGAAATTGACTTGTGCAAGTAGAAGTACTATTCCACTAAATCCAAGTTATTCGGAATGGCTGAAGAAATCTACTGATGATTTCTTACTCTTATATCACGATGTACAAATGTTATATACGAACAAATACTAGATGAATGATAGCTGCTCTGAATTGTTCATGGACTGTCATTAAATATATTTCTATTGGGTAATAATTAAGTAACTAGATTATGTATATATACATATTCCCTTTTATCAAAATCGTTCATTTGGCCTATTGGCTACTGTTAACGTATTCACAGTTTATTCGTCTTAGTATACCACACACATACCCAATTTTCGATCGGTCTTGTATAATTATTACTTCTCATTCTATGGTGTGATACGGTCTAGTTTGCCTGCATAAAAACCACGTTTATCTGAAATATACGATTCACATATCGGAGACCGATATTTGTGTTCTGGACTGGACGGACTTAGTTGGGCGAGAAGCTACTATACAGAGGACCGATTAGGCACAGAGTTGACTCAACATTGCTAATGCTGGTCAACCCATCACTAGTCTAGCACAGAGACGTCATGGATGTCGGTATTCTAATTGGTGGTTTTGTCACGTAGTATTTGACGGGACATGGGGAATAACAAGATTTACCAATTGATGAAGGTTCAAACACAATTCCCAAATCTTAGATATTCTGAACCAAGTAAGTGAGTATAACTTCATAAAAAGTGAAGTATTACTGCGTAAGCCATAACTGACTACATACAAGACATACGCCTCAAGAAATGACCAGTCGATCCTCGGATATTCTTGATACCAGAACTTAGTTGTAACATTCGTAACTGTTAATCGAAAGTCAATCTGCTGCATTCTCAATCATATTTTCCTACAAATTACTTTTCAAGGAAACGTTCGATGATTCCGAGCAGTTTGCGATAACTCTGTGACACGAAATCAACACTACTATTTGTTTCTTACATCGATGATTGTCTCTCGTTTGAAATCGCTTTAGCAATACTTACACCTGTGACTATATTATATTCTACTGGTGAAATTAGAAAGACATTAGTTGTTCCATCTTCACGGTCCCCGTTTTCCCTAGAATTGTAGATTATTGTAATTACACCGTAGCCGTAGTGGAAATACCCTTCGGTATATTAGTCAAACTTCGACAGGATTTCTCGGTCCTCCTACTGTAGATTTGTTTCCCATTTGCTACCTAACATTACAATACTCGTTATAACTACATTTCTCTCAGAATAACCTATCAGTAAAATCGTTACGAACAGTTTGACCATTATTATTTGTTCTTCAAATGTAATGTCGCTCGCTGTGCAAACCGATGAAACCTGTAAACAGACATGCATTGTGTGTTTATTTCCTCAATATAATTTAATTACCAGCTGATATGCTTTTGTTCGTATCATCCTGGCTAGACGTTTTGTACTAAAAGTTTAGTATCGACGAAAAGTTAGGTAAATACTAAAAAATTTATTTTTTCTGAAGATGGGTACATATGACTTTTCAAGTCATCGAATCTAAAACTGTTCACAACAATTCGTTACTTATTAGCAGCATTTGAATGAATACCAGCCATATTATAAGATGAGACTTTATGAACACTTTGCGTTTGATTTCGAGGAATCGGTTGTAAGGATTGATAACCAATAAGCTAAAAAGCCGAGAGAGTATATATCAGGAATCTAGCATTGCCTTTTAAATATCATTACGTTTGTTCTTGATAAAAATGGCAACTAAAACAATGACTAACTTGGAGCCATATTAGTTGCAAAGATGAAAATCTATCACGAGTGAGTCCCTGTAAACTGTAGCATATTTTTGGGGGATATTTAGATTCTAACCTAACATTTAATTCATAGGAACCCCAGAATCTTGACAAAATGTGTGATTAGAAGGCACAAAGGATAAAGAACCAGAAAACTATATGTATGATGAGTATTGTTTAATATAGTTTCTCCCCTTATCACATAGATATTTGCTTACTTAGCTTTAGTCAAGTGAAGAATTATCGGGACACTTAAGAACAATTTCTGCACTCTTAAAAACGGATGTCTAGTTTTTATTACCGCCTAGGATAATCTCGATATGAATATGCATCATGAGAGTCTGCTGAAATAATGAGAAACGAGGTTCAAAAGTCCATTGGATAGTTTCATGGAGTAATACATAAGCGGTATCGTGAACCAACAGCTTAGTTTACTGACAAAAATCACGCCGAACCGATAGCAATCAAGTGTCGGACTTCATAAATGATTACGGAAGACAGGAGACTCCCAATAAACTATTTTTGTCGGAAAACGATTACAAGAAACACAACATTCTTACTTAATGTGACATTATTACATATTCAAGTCATATATGCTGAAACTCTAAATAGTAGGCCTAAGGATGGCTTGTGAAGACTCTTCACGATATGCGATACCACAAAAACCTGATTTGCAAGATGACAAGAATGTAAATCATTCCTAAACAATGTCCAAGGGTGAGCGGGAAAATTTACTGTAGTTTATTAAACCTTAAACGGTTATAACTAACAGGAAAGAAGGAAAGTTGTTCATATTTCTAACCGAATAATTTATGTTTAATTCTTTGGAAAAAAATTTAGCGAATAATTTCAATAAACAAAAATTAAGATGCTTCATATCTAATACTTACTAATTTAAAAACAGAGAGAACATACATGAAAAAGGAAAAAGCTAGTGTTCTTTGATACGTGAACGTGCGGCAACTATTAGTCGTACGACTTTACCATTGGATTTTTGTTATAACTTCATTCAGAGTGGCAGCACTTTTTCTCAATTTGCACAATTCATCCGCACTAAGTTCAAGCGGAATCAAATGACTGATTCCAGCTGAAGTTACAAGACATGGTAAACTCAAATAAACATCCTCTTCGATTCCGTGAACTCCTTTGACAGGAACAGAGAGTGGATAAACTGTGTGAAGGTTATTTAATAGTGCGTTACAAAGTGATCGACATGTCAACCCGATCGCCCATGAGGTGTAACCTTTCAAGCGAATGATGTCATAGGCACTCTGAATAACTTGCTTGTGTATTTCCTCGAAATTTTCAGGATCATCTTTGCATCCTATCTTCGGATTTAGAGAAGACAGCCGAACTCCAGCAACATTCACATTACTCCAAACAGCAACACTCGAGTCACCATGTTCACCAATTACATATCCATGGACAGAATTGGCAGATACTCCCAATTTCTCACCTAACAGAAAACGAAACCTCGCCGAGTCAAGCATGGTTCCGGTCCCAATTACTCTATGAGCTTCAAATCCACTCAATCTTCGAGCAACATATGTCAAAATATCGACAGGGTTCGATACGACGACTATGATGCAGTTTGGACTGTATTTCACAACATTCGGTATTATTTTCTTGAATATATCAACATTACGCTGAACAAGGTTCAGTCGTGATTCTCCTTCGTTTTGTCTGGCACCAGCAGTGATGACGACAATATCTGAGTTTGCAGAGTATTTGTAGTCGGTTCCCCCATCAATTTTGCATCTGCCAATAAACTGTTGACCATGCTGTAGATCAAGAACTTCTCCTTTAACCTTATCTGCTACGACATCAATAAGTGCGAGTTCTCCTGCCACTTGCATGGTAGAGAATGCTGCAGCCATTCCAACCATTCCAACACCTATAACAGTCACTTTACTACGAGAACGGGGCTCGATATTTGATGGGGCCACTGACTTCAACAAACGATCGCAGACAGATGACATATTTTGTGATAAACACCCTAAGTAAATGGATAGACAAATACGTGACCAGATATACACAAACCAAACTAATTGTAGTACAAGTCCACTCAATTGGATATGTAAAACAAAAGTGTACGTTCGGTCGTACAGATAATAGTTTTCATTGCCATATTTTATCTTTTCCACCTTATTTATTTCAATTCTTCCCTCTGAATTTTTTTAGGATTTTTTATACGCACTGTTATTCCTGGTTTGGTATCGCCAAATACTTCGATATCCAAAATTTTTTAGGTAGAAATAACAACTTAATATTTCCTTTAAAATTGGGTCTGGGTTATGAAAGAGATTTCGGTCAAAAGTTGTTAATATTCTTGTCCCCGTCGTTTGTTAGCTTCAAAGACAAGTTACTCGGTGTGGCTAAGTGGTCACCTCCATCGGTACCACTGAGTCAAGCCTTCAGAGGAGTGTGCTGATACATAAAGTGGAAATTTTTGATGAATTCCTCACATATATTCAGTTCAACAAGATTTAACTGCACACATAAACACCTACAAATTACAGCATTAGCGTTCTCTGTCTTTTAAATTACCCCTTCCTAGCCTTATGACACTAACTACAGGTCTTTTCATTAAGAAGCTAACTTCCATGGGCCCAGCGTGCCCAAGGCGAATTCACTTAACTACTAATACCGTACCATTGGCCTACTGAACATTACAAAAACTTTCCTCAAACATGGAGATATAACCAGTTGGCAGAGGTCAGTTGAACATATTGGAAGTATAAATGTTATTACGACTCTGATAAATCATTGGTCAATAAACAGATTAAAGCCCTATTCAGGCAGTTCTCCCTGTTTAGTCTAGAAAAACAAGTTAAAGCTGCTCTTATTTCATTTTAAAGTAATAAAGCTGATGAGCTAATACCATCCGTTAGAGAGAAACATTAGGTCATTCAGTATATTGACTATCCATTTTTCTCTGTGAAATAGTCGATAACATTCTGCAGTTCTTCGGAGGAGTCCATCGTGCTAAGGTTCTGTTTTCAAAAAAACAGATATTCCAAATCCTGTTGTTGTCACAACACCGACAGTAATTATTCCCTCAACCAAAGCAACCTCTTCAAGTTTTCCTAAACCTAGATCAATTGCCGATACGACCAAACTCCCTATTAACATCCTTATCCATACACATGGACAACTAATAGACATGTTGATCATTCCCGTCTGCTATACATTTTAAGATGCCACAGTTATTCGGAGTGAGACAACGCCTTGATCAGTAACACCTTTATAATCAAAGTATTCCAACTCAGTCGACTCAGAAGTCTGAAGCGAAGAGGTTCGAAGATATTTGATAGTATATCGATATATTCAGGAACTGAATAATCAGGGGTGGGTAGATGTTGTAGGAGATGTGAAGCAGGGCGTACTGACTCGTGATCTGATGCGGATGTATGACCTAGCGCTATCATATAGGTGAGTCCAGTCAAACTAATCCGGTCATCACCAAATGTCGAAGACTTACAGAGCTATTGATTCTTGGGTTTAATTTACCGCTACACATCACTGGTGTGACAACCAAGGCACTCGTTCTTGTTGACACAGAGGCAGAAGTTAGTATTCTTTTCACGAATTTAAGTGACCATGCACAAACTATGCGTTTTCAATCTAAAGCAGTAAACAGAAGTTCAGTCCGAACATTCAGCAAAAGTAGGTTAACCGTAACGTGTGTTTGCTCAAACCCATTCTTCTGTTCTCAGTGAATTAGGACTTTTATTATATCACTCTAAGTTGTTAATACATAAAATCTTATTCTACCATCAAATCATACCAGATTGGTATGTTTATTTTTAATTCCTTTTATTAATAATAATAGTTTATTCTCAAATAACAGTTTGTTACATGAGGCATGCCAGTTTACACGCAAGATCAAATTGTTAAAAAGGATACAATCTCCACTGTAGTAAATTACCCAGCTGGGTTGATATTTTATAAGATATAAGTTTATATGATTTTAGTAAGAATCGTATTGTCAGTATCACAGTTTGCGCGCTTTATGAAGGTTGTGTTGTGACGTGCAACTGATGGTCGAGAATAGATCCATGTAAAGTTCGGGGCCTCTAGAGACTGCAACCTTATATCCCTCTTTAATATCTGAGGGTCCAATGATGGTGCAGGACGAAGTCACCCAGTTCATACCTGTTATTGGTGGCATATCTCAAGGGGGCTGAAAAAGGGTGCAAGAAAAAGAAAGGACGAGAAGTAGAGCGGACAATGTGGCTGCTATTAAGCGCAACTCACTTTCGTAAACATGACAGTCTACTCAGCGACCAATCAGAATGAAGCGGGAACTATTATATCCGCCATCTTGGTATGCGATGGCGACCGGCTTTCTTTGTTCTGTGTTCTTTCCGCTATTTGTTTTGTGTAGCTACAGAATTTAATGTTTTAGTGTGCTAAAATGTGGAAGTTAATGTAATACTCTAAATGTTTGAGCAGAATTTTTGCTGATTTTGCTTTCTTTTCTGGGTTTTTCCTGCTGCTATTAAAGTCAATGTATTTCTTCAGCCAAACTGGCTAGTCTTATGATTTAAAATGGTAATCGGTTTTGTTATGACTTATTTTCTAGATATCCAAAGCCAAAGTTCTTTTTTTAACTAAAATAATTGTTGCTGTCGCATGTGACTAACTGTCCGCATGTTTGTTCCTAACTGTCCTTTTTGATGTTATCGGCAAAATGAAAGAAAGCAATCTCCGGTTTTTAATTTCCTTCAGTATTATGGACAACACTATCCCACCAACGAGTCAAACTAATACTGAGTGCCCAGTAGTAGGGGATATCAGTATTGTTTTCGGAAGGACCCAGACTTCCGACAACCATAGAAGTCACAGATGCTACTAATCTATTGCAGAGGGTTTGTTATAAAAAATATGCCATATAGCAGTAGTGGATGGGTTGTACTCATTACGTAGTGCTTTAAAGCAAGCTTAACATTGAAAAGCCGGAAATCTGCTATCAGTGTGCAGTGTATCTTTGCTGTTTTGGCAGTAAAAGAAAGCCGAAGGGTCATGATCAGGGAGTAAAAAGGTAATTAAGTGTTATTAAGCTCACTTTTTATAGATCATATTTCACCACTCTCAAATTTGTTTTTTGTTACGGTATGATGTCAACCGGTACCTAATATGTTCACCCTCACGATGGAAAGTACCTGCAAATTTTCACTTTCATATTCGAATTATTTTTGGACAACTGTCTTCCAGTTTGAGTGCTACGTACGCCCTGGGAGACTAGATTCCTACATTATTCATAGTGCCAGTATAACTTTCTCACGCAGTAAGTTCAAAGTAGACACTAGTCTTTCTAAATAAGCCTGTTAAGCTAATATCCGTGTTCTCTATTTCAGTTAATCGATGAAGACATGTACCACGTGCATCTGCTGTATCCTGCCATTTTACTCTAATATTAACTGTTATGTCTTCAGAAACATAAAATTGCCATATGCAGTATATACAGACTTATTTGTTTTGATGAACATAGGGGGGTTCATGGGATTTTTAGCAGAACTGTAGTAATATTCCCACTAAAGAGCTAAGCGAGTGCGTAGACCAATGTAAGGCACCATACAGGGTGACTTTGAGTTACTCGTGTTCCATTAGTGCGGGTAGGGGCATTGCTTGTTTATCATATGGCATTTGAATAGGAAGCTATGAGACTGGACGCAGTCACGGTAAGGATGTACGACGTGTATCCATCAGCTGCCGTGACAACTCATGGTGGTTAGAATAAGTTATGAAAGGACCCGAGTCTGTAGGTTTGCCAAGAAAATGACGAAGATATGTACTAAGTCACTTAAACTTACTACATATGAACTAGGTGCTGAGATGCTCGTGTATTGCAAGTTTCTTGCAACGATTAAGTAGGTAAACAAAGAAGCATTGGATTTAAAAATTTATTCGGGAACTTTCATTACGAATCGAATATCAAACAAAGGTTTAAACGAAGTTCCCATTTAGAAGTTGCATTGGTAATGTTAAGCTGCAGTCTTTGCTATTTTTTTCCAAACGAAAGGGTAAAAGAAGTAACTCAAAAAGTACTGGAAGTGGTTGTGAGGCTAAAATGGACGTCCATCATCCTTTTTTATAATCTGCTGTTAGTTGGGTCCCCCGTAAACAGTTCCATAGGGCCATAGTTCTAAGGGCAAAACAGTTTTTAGGATCTGTGAGGGCTCACTCCTGTTGCATTCTAAATGAAAAAATAGTGATGAATTTAGTCAGAAATGTGGAAAAGATAAATAACCAAATCACATGTTTTTTAGCAAAGAATGTATGCAGTCGTGATTTACCTTGAGTTCATGAATATTAGATCAGGTCAGCTACTATCACTTGTGCAAAGCTAACATGGGCTTAGTACCATATCGGAATAATTTTATTATTTTGCTCCCACTTAAGTACTCCCATGCATCTGCGCCTAGCTTAACAGGAAGACATAAAAGCAGAGTTAGTGCCTGATAAACTAAAAGTCCCAGCTGTCAAAAAGATCCTTAACATTTGTCCACAACCAGCCGCATTTAATTGAGACACAGAACACTCATCTTCTAAGACCGTATATTGCTGTTTTACGGGCAACTAACAGCTCAGCCACTTAGCTATCCTGCTACCGATGTTATTGCTGGGGAAGATGTTTATTGAGATTGATATTGAAATATGGTCAGTGATAGATGTACAGTCTAGAAATAAACACCAAACATACATATCGATAGCTTATATTCTATAACAGCAACAGCATCAAAGACACGTTTTTTCCTATTTTTAATCAGACTGATTTGAGTCAGCACACTCATTAGAAAGAGGCAGCTCTACTTACTAAACTGATCTATTTCGTTACAGGCTTCAAGCACTATACTTAAGTTTACCATAATTATTTCGACTAAACTGAATTATACGACAACCAAAAATACTAAACTAAGGAAGTGTCGTAATTATCGTTTCGGTTGCACAGACATGTTGCTCAAATTTGTTAAATGGACGTTATTCAGCTGATAATACCAAAAAACGAAATATAGGCTAGTCGCGAACTTGCCTAACAGAAGACAAACGATATATATACATATTGCTTTCAGATTAAAGACAACAATCAGTTGTCCATAAAAACATAGTTTACAGTACAACAAACTATTCTTCAGTAACATTATGCA